ACAATGGCTCCGCGTTTGGTCCAGCTATCTCAAGCTTTACTGGATCCAGTACTACTATTAATACAAACTCATTACGGACGGGGGGTGGTCGATCTACACCGATCGTGACCTCAAATGGTAATTCGCAAACAGATGCTGCCTCATCCTCGAACAGCTCGAATGGTGTTGCTAACTCAATCCTTCATGGTTCGATCAGTCGTTCCGCTTCTGATCTTGGTCACTTTGATGCTCCCGGATCCGCCGTGCTCGGTTCGGAAACTGACACCATGCAAGCTGATGGAGCAAGTTAGTTTTGTCTTTTTACGTGGAATAATGTTACTCCATTCCATTATCTAAGGTTTCACCGTCTCACAATACCTTCCATCTCACTTAGACCGTCTGGTGACATATTATAGCCGATTTATTACGCGGAATTTAATAGAGCGATACTCTAGTTTATTTCACCGTCCTGTGGTTATAATGCCAGTTGAATGAAGAGACTTCGATCAGCTTTTAATTCCTATTTTCTGTTCGTTACACATTTCAGCACTCGGTCCAGTTCACGATCGGTGTTTACAAACGTCTTTGCTGGCATTTCCGCATCCTCACAATTCAACTTCAGCCGACCTCGTCGATTGAAACATGTACCATGTATAGAAACCATTTTCTACTTTACCTTGCCCTGTTCCTAATAAAGGGTACGGAAAATCACTCCAATATAAACTAACAATGTGCAAATTAAGCATAGCAAAGTGAATTAAATTAGGAAAGAGTAGGTGTCTCGTGGGTTTCAAGCTCTTGTCCTTTGGTTTAGGTTTCAAAGACTTAGTAGTGGTTATCCGATAGTGCACACTTATAATTGGCATTTAAACGCATACTGGCCATTCGGCACTTTTGTGTTCCCCCAGTCAATAGACTAATTTTCAATACGTTTGCCTTGTTGGTACCGCACATTAATACTGTTGATACAGAAAAGGCAGACGAAGTGATATTTCCGGTAGATCGAATTACTCGCTTTATCTCATTCTGATGTGCTATGTTTGGTTAGTAGTAGTAGTAGTTCTCCCTCGTTTGACTCCCAAGCAAAAGGCTAGAGCATGTCCCACCTTTTGTACTGTGGTCATATTTGNGTGCAAGACTGCTATTCTGTTTGGAGCTCCGTCGCCAATCTTCTCTGTACCATCTCCAGCTCACCACTGAACCTTTGCTTCATCCCCTTGATGTTTGTTCGCAGGAATTCTCACCCGAGATTCTGATAGTTTGACCCGTCCGACTCGTTCCTAGGCGCAAATAATCATTATTAAGTGATCGTCTGTCTTTCGATTTTCGTTCATCTTTTCCCCCTTGAGATCCTCTCCCGACATTCGTTTTCACACAATCGTGAAANTCATACACGTCCCAGTTTAATCTAGAGTATCATCATCCTCAATTCTCGTGACAGTAGGTTATTAGACTATGGAATTTATCTCTTCTTCTCTAGCTTATAATTATCCGGTGATAAGCACATTCACTTTTGTTTTATCCTTTGGTCAAACTTTTGTGGTCACCTTAATCAATTTTTACACTCCATGGACAACACCTGCTTTTAATTGATTAATCAAAGTAGTGTCGAGATCACCAAAGCCTGTTAAAATAGAGTTGATTTGAATTGGAACTGATCATCCTTCAGATTTCACCATCACACACAATCCTCAGTTCTTCCAGTCGACCATACACTTGGAAACACTAGACCCCAATTTCCCCTTAATTAGAGCTCCTCGATAGTTCACATTCGTCCCGCCCGGGCATTGAACTTCGGACCCATCACATGGAAGGCGTGTATTACCATTGTGCCAACATCTCATATCACTGAAGACGACATCTGAACAAACGCGAATTGGCAATTCGGTTCAGCCTTGGTTTGAGCTGTTTGGCGCAGTGGTAACGCACACGTCTTCCATGCGATGGGTCTGGAGTTCACTGTTCGGAAGGGACGGTGGATATGCACTACTGATAAGCTCTAATAGCAGCGAAACTCGAGTCTAGTGCTTCCGAGTGTGTGGAAGAACTGAGAATTTTGCATGAAGGTAAACGCTGATCAGTTCAAGCAATATCGATTATCCCACACCACTACTGAGTTCAATGTAAATGTAAAATAAAGTTGTCCTTTCAAGATGTTACGTTACAACACAATTGCCCATCATGGCCATCACTTGAGACTCATCACTTTTCTTCGCTACACTTGCATTCTTAGATCCAAATCTAGTCGTACAGACCGAGAGTGGTTTGAATTGGTTGTTGCGCTATCGTCGACTGATGCTGAATCAAACTCTTTTGGGTGGACCAGTTTCTTGTCCAATTATTCAATCTGGCGGACCATTGTCCTCATTGCACCTAAATGTCTCACCGGAAACAACAAATGCAACCCACTGGTTTGCGTCACAGACCGGACCGCTGCTCAACTCACTGAGTTCCGACATGTTGACTTGCGGTTCAGCATCATGGCATCATGGTTCCGGTGCACAAATCGCAGCCATGTTCGCTAAGGTGCGTGAGCTGTTGGCGAAGCGAGACTCCAACGGACCGCGTTTGCTTAGTCTCATCACCGAGGAGCTGTTACGCTGCCCAAAACTACCGGTAGGTTTTGTCCAAATTCAGTTTTTGTGTGTTCACTCTTTGCTCATCTTACACATTCATATATGCACAATGGGCTTGATAGTGATCAGCAAAGTTCGTTGCATGATAATGCGCGATCAATATTGACTAGATTTGATGTGTGTTATCTTATATACATGTGGTCTTTTCATGTAGAAGCCATTGACCAGAAATTGGTTTCTTTATTGATGTTCCTCAACACTTTTAAATTAATTGAGTTGGTTGATTGCTGTTATACTTAAATTTTATCTTGGGATTATTTCATCTGGTCAGTTGCAAATTTGAGATTCATCATGGAAAAAAATGTTATTGATTTGTCACTGATACACCGATGAAATTGGCCCTACGATGTTAACTGCTAAATCGTTTGACGACCAAAACATCTCTCTAGGGAGTGTGCATCAGTCTGTCGGAGCACAAGATGCTTATCGAAGATTCACAGAGCTGTCTCCATTCAACCTTGATGATGATTGTGCTA